AGATGAAGGCAAAGATGGGAGTGCTGCAGCCACAAGCCAAGGAATGCTGGCAGCTACTGAAAATGAAAGAGGTGAGGAATGGGTTCACCCATAGGGCCTTTGAAAGCTTTTGACTTCAGCCTAGTGATTCTGATTTTGGACTTCAGGGCTCCATAACTGTAAGGTAATACATTTCTATTGTTTTAAGCTGCTTAGTTTGTAGTAATATGTTACAGAAACCATAAGAAATTAAAACAACCAGGAAGTTTTAGTAGGGAAAGCTAAAGTGGATATAGTGGAAAGAGTGGGTGCTTTGGATAAAAGTAAAACTCAAATCAAATCCCTCCTGGTATGACCTTGGCCAATAATATTAAACCAGCATGGGAAATACATGTGCAGCCACTCGCCCTCCCATGCCAAAGCAAATGTGAATCATCAATAGCAGCATTCCTTCCCAGATATGAACTCAGAATATATTTCAGCACAGGTCTCTTGACAACCATAAGAAATGACATGTGACATTAAACTCAGTAACTATTCCTTTAATTACACTAACCATTATTCATTGGGTACCTACTATCTGCCAGGTATTTTAAATAAAAATATATGCAATTCCTCCAACAATTGAGGAGACAGTTTCTTCTTTACCTTGGTTTACAGACAAGAAAATCATATATCATAGCACAAACCTATAAAGTCACAGGTTTGGCGTTCAAAACCAGGTCTCCCTGACTCCAAATCCCATTCCACCACCATGCATAACCAGCCACTTGGATTTTCTGAGCCTCAGTTTCCTCCTCTGTGAAATGGGGCTGCTGATCTCCACCTGGAAAAGCACATTTGAGGCTTGAGTGAGATCATTAACAAAGACAAGGACCCCAGGAGACTGTGTCTGACACAATGCTTGCACAGGCCAATGTTAGCAACCCAGACCTCTTCACTGCAGTGCAATAGAGAGAGATCTGGCCTCAGGTGGTGAAGCATAAAGCCCTGACCTAGCAGCTGTTGGAAACCCAGCCCATTCCTTGACACACCTCAACCCCATAGCTTGGTCTTTTTCCTCTGGAGGGACCACTCCTAGAGCCAGGGAACAACAGGGTCACTGTGACCTGAGCCAGAATACTCTATCAGATCAGCACGAGCCAGTACAATAAATTAGAATTACAAAACCAACAATCTTTTAACCAGGATGTAACCAAGGACCAGTCACAGGGAGGCCATCAACAGTGCGGAAGTGAACAGTGTTCTGATCCGGTCTCCCTGGACCCTCTGGGGGTTCTTGTCCCATTGTTGGGAGGCAGATTGAATCAGAGGAAACAGCAGGACGTCAGCAGAAAACATCCTCGGGTTTAAATCCTGGCCTTTCTACCTACTGGCTGAGTTGTCTTGACTGCACTTTTTCACTTCCCCAAGCTTCAGTTTCCTTATCTGTAAGATGAATCACAACATGCCATGTGGATCAAATGGGTTAGTGCAAGCAACGGAGTAGATGCTCAGTCAGTGTCAGTTCCCCTCATTTTACCCATTCCCGCAAGTCCACGCCTGAGCCTGCCTGCAGAGCACTCTCCTTCCCAGAAACTCTCCAGCTAGATCCAGCAGCAAGTGTAGTGTCCATTGGAAAAGGCAGTAACATCCTGGGCAGGCAGGTGCTACCCTGGGAGGAAGGAACAGTGGAGATGACAGGGCCTCCTAACATGTTCTAGTCCCGAGAGGCTCACTCACAGCTCTCTCTGTAGAACGGGATGGGAGGGAAAGGAATTAGGCACAGCCCTGCAAACCTAGTCTCAAGCAGAGAAAATACAGGTTGCACCTTCTAAGGAAAAAGAGTGCAGTCACCTTTCTATTTTGGTATCAACAACGTATGAACAGCAGGCTCTGGGCACAGTAGGAAACCTACACCCACACTGCTCCTTTATCGCTGTTCATCTCTTGGCAAATAATTACTCTCCCTGCAGGCACCCTCATGCGAGCCTTCTAATTATACCATTGTTGGGTTTCATGTCAACTGAACAATAAATTAAATGTGGGGCAAGATGTCTGATCAACATGTGCTGGGGAGTAAACTGTGGGAAGCACATGATATTAGTGATGGTACTGGGAATGGGGACATCATCTTTCTGCCTAAGCTTTGCCTTGAGACAGGCTTCCTTATTCTCTGTTAATCCTGTTAAGGATGAGACTGTAACCTGGACCTGGAGGGACCCAAATCACCCTACCTCTGAAATGGACAAAACGCATTCATTATCATTTCCCTTCAAGGGACCCTGAGAGGGTTTGATTAACAAATGACTGTAAAATACTAGCAAATATATAGATAATAATTTCTCATCAACTTTTTCCTTAGTGGCATTGGCGCCCTTCTCTGAATTTTTGCTACATCAAAAGTCAAGTTTCTCATTAGAGAAAGAAAGAGGGCAGTGTTTATTTTAATATTTTGATATGTTATTTTAATAGTTTGATTTATTTTATATTTAACAGTTTTTAAGGTTTAATTAACAAATAAAAGTTATATATGTTTAATGTGTACAGTTGTTTTGATACATATGCACATTGTGAAATAATTACCGCAATCACAATTAACACACCCATCACCTCACTAATTTCCCTCCCTTTCTTCCTTCCTTCCTTCCTTCCTTCCTTCCTTCCTTCCTTCCTTCCCCCTCTCCCTCCTTCCCTCCCCCCTTCCAGGTGAGGATACTTAAGATAAACCTTCTTAGCAAATTTCAAGTATCTGGTACAGTATCGCTAACCATAGTCACCACACTATACATTAGCTCCAGAACTTGTTTATCCTGCAGAGCTAAAACTACACTTTGACCAACACCTTCCCTACTCTTCAGCCGCTGGCAACCACCATTTGACTCTCTGTTCCTGTGAGTTTCACATTTTTTGGATTCCACATATAAGTGGGATCATGTAATACTTGTCTTTCTGTGTCTGGCTTACTCCTCTTCACATAATGTTCTCTAGGTTCATCCATGTTGTCACATGCAGCAAAATTTCCTTCTTTCTAAAGGCTAAATAATATTCCATAGTAGAAATATACCACAATTTCTTTATCCATTTATCCATCCATGAGCATTTGGGTTATTTCCATATTTTGGCGATTGTGAACAATGCTGCAATGAGCGTAAAAGCACAGATATCTCTGAGATCCTGATTTGGTTTTCTTTGGATGCACATCCAGAAGTGGTATCGTATGGTAGTTTTATTGCTAACTTTTGGAGAAAACTTCGTACTGTTTTTTATAATGGTTGTACCTTTTCAAAACCCCATAAAAATGTGCAAAGATTCTCTTTTCTCCACATCCTCACCAACACTTTGTCTTTTTCGATAATAGAACAGGCGTGAGGTGATATGTTAATTGTGTTTTGATTTGCATTTCCCTGGTGTTGAGCACGTTTTCATTTCCATGCTGACCATTTGTATGCTTTCTTTTGAGAATACAAATACATCACGTCATATACAAAAATAAACTCAATCTGAAGTTTTGACCTGACACTAAAATTACTAGAAGAAAGTATAGGAAAAAAGGCTTCTTGACATTAGTGATGGCAATGATTTTTTAGATACAACACCAACAGAACAGGAAACAAAAGCAAAAATAAACAAATGAGCAATAACTATTCAGATCTTTTGCTCATTTTTAAATTCAGTTATTTGTTTTCTTGCTACTGAGTTGCATGAGTTCCTTATGTGTTTTGCATATTAACTCCTTATCAGATATGTGATTTGCAAATATTTTCTCACATTTCATAGGTTGCCTTTCCACTGTGTTGATTCTTTTTTTTTTCTTTTCTTTTCTGTTTTTGAGGTTTGGACAAATTTATTGAAACATACAGGTTGTTAGCAGAGAAATTGTTCTATAGTGTGTTACATTTTGCCACTACCTTGAATATGTAATTAAAAAATTTTAAATATATTTTCCAAAACTAAGACTTTAGCCCAAAAAAAAGTCATTTAGAACATTTTTAAAGATCAATAAGAAATGGGTTTTGGACATTAAGAAGATAAGTCACCAAATTAAACAGCAGCAACCCCCACTAATCTAGAATCACGTAGTGCCAAAGGTAGAGGTGTCTTGCAGAGTTAGCCATTATTATGGCAATCAGAAGAGATGGGGGCAGGCACACCTGTCAAAGGTGGTGGCAGAGCAGGCAGGACAGGACGGCTGGGCTGGTCAGGTGAGCATGCCCCAGAAACAGCAGCAGCAAAGAGCAGTCCAGCAGGCTGTGACGCAGGTGGATAGTTCCAACTCATCTCTTCGTAGGTCCTCTATCACGTACACTGTGGTTTTAGGAGGCTCCCGAGGTCTGCCCTGCCAGCTGTACTGTGGGTATCCTTGGTAGGGGTATCCTTGAGGTAGGGCCCCCCCATAGGTACTGGGCCCATTGTTTTTTTGTGGATAAGGTGGGTATGGGGCTGATGGACCAGGGCCTGGATATGGTGGAGGATTCTCTTGGTTCATTAGGGACCTGTAAAGTGTACCTCTCGTCTCCAAAAACTGGCTGGGTAGTGTCTGGATCAGGATCTGAGGAGTCCAGACCAGCCCACAGAAGACTCACTGCACCTACCTAGAAGAGAGTGAAGAGCTGCCATGTGACAGAAGTTTTTAGTTTGATACAATCCCATTTGTTTATTTTTGCTTTTGTTTCCTGTTCTGTTGGTATCATGTCCAAAAAATCACTGCCATCACCAATGTCAAAAAGCCTTTTTTCTATACTTTCTTCTAGTAGTTTTACAGTTTCATGTCTTCATGTTAAAGTCTTTAATCTATTTTGAGTTTATTTTTGTATATGCTGTGAGATAAGGGTCTAATTTTATTCTTCTGTGTATGATTACCCAGTTTTTCTAATGAAGTTTATTGAAGAGACTATCCTTTCCCCATTGTGTGCTCTTGGCATTCTTATCAAAGATCAGTTAGCTGTACATATATGAATATATTTATTCTGTTATATTAGTCTACATGTCTGTTTCTATGCCAGTACCATATTGTTTTGATTACTATAGCTTTGTAATATATTTTAAAATCAGGAAGTGTGATGCCTCCAGCTTTTTTTTTTTTTTTTTTTTTTTTTTGTCCCTCAAGATTGCTTTGGAGATGTGTAGTTTTTTGTGATTCCATTTGAATTTTATGATTGCTTTTTTAAAAAATTAATGTAAAATGCTATTGGGGTTTTGATAGAGATTGCATTAAATCTGTGTGTTTCTTTGGGCACTATGGACATTTTAAAGATTTTAATTCTTCTAATCTATGAACATGGAATGTCTATCCACTTCTATGTCTCCTTTAGTTTCTTTCTTCAGTGGTTTATAACTTTCAGTGTACAAGTCTTTCACCTCTTTAGTTAACTTTACCCTAAGTATTTTATTCTTTTTGTTTCTATTGTAAGTGGAATTGTTTTTTTAATTTCCTTTTTGGATAGTTCATTGTTAGCATATAGCAAAAATATCACTGATGCTTGCAAGTTGATTTTGTATACTGCAAATTTACTGAATTTGTTTATTAGTTTTAATAATTTTTTGTATGGAGTCTTTAGGATTTTCTACATGTATGATCATGTCCCTGTAAGAGGAGTTCTTTCTTTTCAATTCGGATAGCTTTTATTTCTTTTTCTTGTCTGACTGCTCTGGCTAGAACTTCCAGTATTATGTTGAGTAGAAGTAATGAGATTGAACATCTTTGCTTTGCTTCAGATCTTAGAGAAAAATGCTTTCAAATTTTCCCCATCGATTATAATGTTAGCTGTGGTTTTTTCATATATGGCCTTTATTGTGTTGAGGTAAGTTTATTCTATACCTATTTTTTTCAGAGTTTTAAATCATAAATGGATGTTAAATTTTGTAAAATTAATTCTGAATCTTTTGAGATGATCATGTGGTTTTATCTTTCATTGTTAGTGTTGTATATTATATTGATTTGATATGTTGAAACATTCTTCCATCTCAGGGATAAATCCTACTTGTTCCTGGTGTGTAATCCTTTCAATGTGCTTCTGAATTTGGTTTGTTAGTGTGTTATTGGGGATTTTTGTGTTTATGTTAATTAAGGGACATTACCCTGTAGTTTTCTTTCCTTGTGGTGCTTTTGCTAAGCTTTGACATCAGGGTGATCCTGGCCTCATAATATGAGTTTAGAAGTGCTCTTTCTTATTCTATTATTCAAAAAAGTTTTATGAATCAGTATTGATTCATCTTTAAATATTTGGTAGAATTCACCCATTAAGCCACCTAATTCTGGGCTTTTCTTTGTTGGGAAGGTTTTAATTATTGATTAAATCTGATTTTTTAATTTAAAAAATTTGTCTGTTTCAATTTTTAAAATTTATCTGTTCTTAATTCAGCCTTGGCAGGTTGCATATTTTTAGGACTTTATCCATTTCTTCCAAGTTATCCAATTTGTTGATGTATAATTGTTGATAATGATTCTTTATAATCTTTTTTATTTCTGATGCATCTGCTGTAGTGTCTCTCATTTCTGATGTTATTTACTTGAGACTTCTTTCTTGTTTTCTAAGTTAGTTTAGCTATGAGATTTGTCAAATTTGTTTGTCTTTTCAAGAAACCAAATCTTGGTTTCCTTGATTTTTTCTACTGTTTTTTTTATTATCTCTTTTATTTATTCCTACTCTCATTATTATCATTTCCTTTCTTCTGCAAATATGGGACTTGGTTTGTTCTTTTTCTGGTTGCTGGAGGTGTCAAATTAGGTTGTTTATTTGCAATCTTTCTTCTTTTTAAAATGTAGACATTTGTCACTATGAATGTCCCTTTACTACTGCTTTTACTGTATCCCACAAGTTTTGGTACACTATTCCTTCAGTTTTGTTTATCTCTCAAGGAATAGTTTTGTTTTGTTTATTTAATGTACTTTTGTATTATTTTTTCTTTTTTTAAATTATACTTTTAGTTCTGGAATACATGTGCAGAACGTGCAGGTCTGTTATTAGGTATACATGTGCCATGGTGTTTTGCTGCACCCATGAATCCATCATCTACATTAGATATTTCTCTTAATGCTATCCCTCCTCTAGCTCTCCACTCCTCCCAACAGGCCCCAGTGTGTGATGTTCCCCTTCCTGTGTCCATGTGTTCCCAAAGCTGGAGGCATCATGCTACCTGACCTCAAACTATACTACAAGGCTACAGTAACCAAAACAGCATGGCACTGGTACCAAAACAGATGTATAGACCAACAGAACAGAACAGAGGCCTCAGAAATAATGCCACACACCTACAATCATCTGATCTTTGACATACCTGACAAAAACAAGCAATGGGGAAAGGATTCGCTATTTAATAAATGGTGTTGGGAAAACTGGCTACCCTTTGTGTTTTTCTTTTTGACACAATGGTTGTTTAAGTGGTTTGTTTAGTTTCAATGCATTTGTAAATTTTCCCAGTTTCTTTTTTTTTGAGACAGAGTCTCTCTCTTTCCCCCAGGCTGGAGAGGAGTGCAGTGGCACAATCTCCAGTCACTGCAACCTCTGCTTCTCAGGTTGAAGGGATTCTCCTGCCTCAGCCTGCCAAGTAGCTGGGACTACAGGCATGCACCACCACACCCAGGTAAGCTTTGTATTTGTAGTAGAGATGAAATTTCATACTATTGGCCAGGCTGGTCTTGAAATCCTGACCTTGTGATCCGCCCACCTTGGCCTCCCGAAGTGCTGGGATTACAGGAGTGAGACATCACTCCCAGCCCCCAGTTTCTTATTGCTATTGATTTATAGTTTTATTTCATTGTGATCAGGAAAGATATTTGATATAATTTTCATCATTTTATATTTGTTAAGAGTTATTTTGTGTCCTAAAATATGATCTATCCTAGAGAACATTTATATGCACTTGAGAAGATGTATTATTTGCTTTTTGATGGAAAGCTCTGTATATATGTTAGATCCATTTGATCTAGAGCATTGTTCAAGTCAGTTTCTTTATTGATTTTATATTTGGTTGTTCTATTATTGCAAGTTGAGTATTGAAGTTTCCTACTATTATTGTATTGCTGTCAATTTCTTCCTTAAGATATATCAATATTTCCATTACATATTTTAGTGCTCTGGTGTTGGATGTACATCTATTTATAATTGTTATCTCTTCCTCATGGACTGACCCTTTAATTATTATATAGTGTGTCCCCTTTTGTCTCTTGTGATAGTTTTTGACTTGAAGTCTATTTTTTCTCATGTAAATATAGTTACCCTTGCTTTCTTTTTGGTTACCATTTGCATAGATATATTTTTCCATCTCTTCACTTCCAGGCTATCTGTGTCCTTAAATCTAAACTGAGTCTCTTACAGACAGCATATTGTTAGATTGTGTGTGTGTGTGTGCGTGTGTGTGTGAAATCCATTCAGCAACTCTATGTCTTTCCAATGGGGAGTTTAATCCATTTACATTTAATGTTATTAGCAGATAAAGACTTACTATTGCCATTTTGCTAATTGTTTTTGTCTTTTTAAAATTGTTTTATTCCTCTTTTCTGTCTTACTGTCTTACTTTATTATTTTTTTTGCAGTGATTTGCTTTATTTTTTCTTTACCTTTTGTGTATCTATTTTAATAGTTTCTTTGTGATAGCACAAGGCTTGCTTTAACCAAATTGTAGTTACAGCCATCTATTTTAAGTTGATAATATTTTAATTCCAATCATATACAAAAACCTCACACTTCTACTCCTCCCCACACGTATTTTGTATTCTTAAAGCCAGTATTTACTTCTTTTAATGTTATGAATCCATTAATGAATTTTTGCAGTTATTCTTATTCTAAATGTTTTTTACTTTTAGTTGAATATAATTTATGTGCCACCATTAAAGTGGTATATTATTATGTATTTTCTGTATATTTACTTTCACCAGGAAGATTTATGCTTTCAAATACTTTGGGGCCATGTGCGGTGGCTCACTCCTATAATCCCAGCACTTTGGCAGGCTGACGTGGGAGAATCACCTGAGGTCAGGAGTTTGAGATCAGCCTGGACAACATGGTAGAAACCCTGTCTCTACTAAAAATACAAAAATCAGCAGGGTGTCATGGTGGGCACCTGCAATCCCAGCTACTTGGGAAGTTGAGGCAGGAGAATTGCTTGAACCTGGGAGGTGAAGTTTGCAGTGAGCCAAGAGCATGCCACAGCACTCCAGTCTGGGCAACAGAATGAGACTCTATCTCAAAAATAAATAAATACGTAAATAAATAAATGAAATGATTTGGAATTGTTTTGTGTGTTTTTCTTCCAATTTGAAGAATTCCCTTAAGCATTTTTTTTTTTTTTGTAAGACAGACCAACTTTCTTAATTTTTGTTTTCCTAGGAAAGACTTTATCTCTCCTTCATTTTTAAAGGGTCATTTTTCTGGGTATAGGACTCTTGGTTGTTAGGTTTTTTTGTTTTTTTGTTTTGTTTTCTTTTAATACTTTAAGTATATCATCTCTTTCTCTTGAACTGCTAAGTTTCTATTGAGAAATTTA